TCACCTCTTGCGAGGATTTCGGCCTCGTTAAACTTGAAAATATGGCTGGGTCTCGTTCAATGAGCTGCAACCTAGGAGTTGGCGTCCTTCTTCCTCACCGCCACTGCATGCTCGGCTCGGAGTAATCTCCCGGTTTCTCCGACGTAGTTGCTGTGTCCGCAACTGCACCAGATCCGGTAAACGACTCCAGCAGTTTCCTGTCGTGGCAATGGGTCTTTAGGTCTCATTACCCGGTGCCTGATGGTTGCTTCTGGCCTGTGCGCAACTCCAACTCCGAGTGGGGTGAGCAAATGGTTGACCGCTTCCGATACATTCTTCACGTACGGAAGAGGTCGCCAAACTTTTGGGCCAGTTGGATGTAGTTTCTTCTCTCGTCTGCGTATGCATTGGTTGACAAAATTGCGCGGGTAACCGTTCGCGAATGGTTAATTATGAGGGGATTTTGCAGATTTGAATAATTCAATTGACCCAACTGTAGAGCATTGGCTGTAGTAAGGCCTTCCTTGTTGATGTGGGTTCGAAGCCTACAGAGGCCACGAATCTTTCACAGTTAGGTTAATTGAATTGTTCAAATTTGCCAACCCTCCTCCCAATAATCTTGAAATGTTAAAAATATGGGTTCAAAGATTATATACATATCGATAAAAATCACCTTTAAGAAAATGGTTAGATAAATTTTCACGGAGGCGTGTCTGCGACGCAGAATGTTCACTCACTTGACCAAGCATGTTGACGAATGATGTCATAAACCTCTGGTTTAAACCTATTGTCTTCGCTTTTCGTCGCTCGCCGTCTGTCCGTATTCCGGTCGCAATTAAATCTATTAGGGTTGTATAAAAGGCATTAAATTAGGAAGGGCCGTGCTTCACATCTATCCTGACGTTCATCTAGTAGCAGTAAGCCATGCGGTAGGCCATTTACTTTCTTTTACCGTGGTCTGTAAACACACCAATTATGCATTGCTCATCGTCACCTAGCTGTACACTGGATCCCTCAATACAAAGCACAGCGTGCTTATTTCATTCTGTACGGATATCTGTTGACAGAACACATTTCTCGGGAACTCACTCGTTTTGCTCTGCCTTGGGACTCATTTCCGAACCCCGCCAGCAGCTGTAGCTGCTAGGAGTTTAGGCAGAGAATATTATTGGCAAAGATGAAAGAGACTAGAAGGGCCATTTCTGGCACCTTAGCCAACATCAGCTATTCATACCCAACGCCAACTGTTGCCCCCCGTCACCCTAGGCTCAAACCCACGATCTTTTAACCAGAAGTCTAACGCTCTAACCAGTGAGTCACGAGCTTCTTGTCTTACCGGTATAGATAGGGAGATATTGAAACTCGTTCACAAACCTTAATCGATCGCTAACTGAACTCGCTCGTCCGACTCTGCTTTAGAGCTCAGTGCGTACCTTTCTGGCTTAACAGAGGTGTGTAAGATTGCTATGTCTAGAAGCAACCACTATTCAGATGGATAGTTGTACACTCACAAAGTGCGCTGTAACTTGTTGCGGCGTATCTTTCAGGAACTTCGAAACAGAAGGTTTTCTCCGCTAATGCCGGAGTAAAACAACTATCCACCTTCAGCTCATGCACTTTCCATCCGGAGCACAGGGGATCGAGCGTTTCTTCATAAAATCTATTTGTTCTATGCATCCAGACTAGTCAGGCTTCAGGAGAATCATGTTTATAGACAAGCGGCAATTCTTCCGACTCTCGCGGACACTATCTGGCGACTCTTGAAGAATACCGCTACACGTTTGATGTCTTAAACGCATGAGCAGTTGGTAGAAACCCCAGCGTTTTTTCACATTAGCACGTGCGCGATTGGCAGGTTTAAGAGAAAACCCTGGATTGATAAAAACAGTCCTTTTAAATTCATTTTCCCCACTTGCAACCTATCTTCCCATTTCATTGTCTCCTCTATGGTTTCGCCTCGTACCGCGTCCTGTAGGTTGCTTATTCACTGCCATAGCGAGCATCCTTGCCGGCAATAGTTAGATTCCTTGTTAATTTGGTTTGCATTTTAACGTTCACATCGTTAAAATCAGTGTAAATGTACATATAATTTTCTATGATATATATGTTTCCTTCAGTGCGTATTGGAGACGAACTGCACGTGCAACTTGTCAAGCCAAGTAACCATAATCGCATTAAACCACCTTCCTATGTTTGTCCCCCTTCTTACTTAGCGACGTCTGCTTCAGTGCGTGTGACGTGTCTTCTTCTACTGTTACTACTACTACTACCTCGAACGACCAATCGGTCGACATTCTTCGTAGCTTGATCAAACAGATAATCCACGAATCTGCTGGTGCTACCACCGGCCAAGTACTCGGCACTGCCGCTATCGATTCGACCGCAACACACAGAACAAGTCCCTCCTCTACCACGACAACCCTTTCCCGACACTCGAATGACACTCCC